AGCCGTTGGCTCACAGGCTGCCCAGTGGGAACATGCAGGGCACCAAACTTGGGGGGCAGCCAGCAGAGGAGCTGGCTTTCCGTACTCAGGCCAGCGTCCTGCTGAGCATCTGCACTCGCTCCTCCTTCCCCGTCTGAGATCATCCCCATCACCAGTCCCCCCAAATCACTTCATTATTTCTTTGTAAGTAGGATTTTTTCCTAGTCAAAATAATCAACTTTTTCTGTTGCTGCCACATCTGGCTTTGATTGGTCTCGGCCTCCATGAATGCTAGAGCCCTGACGGGATGACTGATAGGGAGGCCAGTCTGACCCCCCCACATCCTTGGGGTCCCCACCAGGGCTGGCCCAGTGTGAAGGGTGGGCCTAACTGGATTCTCAGAGATAGGACCTTCGGAAGCTCCATCATAGCACCCGTGCAGGAGCACTGGCCTTTAGAGGTACTCCTGCCCCCAGGTCTGAGTTGCCATGCCATTCTCCCTCACTAAAAGACATACCAGAGAAGATGCAAAACAGTTGCCTCAGACCTTCTACATACTTTATGGAGTCACCCAAGGGTCTCTGTCTACCTGCCCAGCATAGGGATGTCCCTGACACCTACAGCCAATACTTCTGCAAGGACCAGGGTCTGCACGGCGGATCCCCCATCGTCTCTTCTCATGCTTAGGACATTCAGAACTGGCTGCATCAGGATTCTTCCCTCCAAGACATTTACTCCATTCAGGGCCGTGGACTCAGCTCATCTCTCTCAGCTGAGTGGGCTCCCAGGCAAGGCCTGGTTTGGAGCCTTTGGTGGGCAGAACTTGGCCCTCTTTTCTCTGATCAGCATCCAGGCAATGGGCAGCCTCCTTCTTCAAGTAGCCCTGCTTTCCAAGTGCCCCTGGAGAGCATTGGTTCCAGAGTCACATCTCTTGCGTACCCTGGTGCATGGGGAAAGCGCTGGGTTGCTGTACCCCTAAGTCCCTTATGAGGACAAGTCCAGTGCTTGGCCTTTGTGGATGCTAAGGCTGACTTAAAGGGATGGGGAATCTGAGCCTGACATCAATAGGAAATGATTCCCATAAAGAGTAACAGGCTCTCAGAGACCCAGAGCAGAGTACTGATAGTGGCCATGGCATGAGTGATTGACTGGTGTGCTCCTCCCACTGCATGCCCCACCCTCACCTGCATGCCTGCAAGAGCTGCTCTGGGAGCATGCACGCTCTGGTGACCTATTCCTATTCTGGCCCCTAAACCTATAAAACCTAGTTCTGACAGGGCTGCTTGCCAGTTGAACTGACTGGTCAGACACTGCAGTCAGTGTCTGGTCAGTTCCACAAACACCAGGGGCACCAGGCATGGTTTATCCTTGCAGGAGTTTGCCAAGGATGGACCCAACCAGACACAAGAAGTTTGAGAAGATTCAGGGCAGAGCACTAAGGCCACAGAGAGGCTCAGCCTCCATGTCCTCAGATGCACAGCATCCCCTTAAGTGTACTTGGGAATAGGGTTGGACACTAAAGGAGCAAACCCCAAACTCACTCTCCCTCATTTTTGTCACAAAAGCCCAGAGCCTGAGCCATCCATACAGGTCCTTACAGCTGCAAGCTCCCCCTCCCCACCAGGCTGAGGTTCCCAGCAGCCTTTGCGCCCAGGGCAGGGGTGACACGTCCTGCTAAACAGAACAAGATGCTCCCCCTCCTACCTCCACTTTACGAAGTGTTTGGAATTCTGACGGCCCAAACAGCTGAATATGCCTTGCCCTGGTTCTCCCTGGGACTCTGCTGGCGGCCAGGGCCTTAAATAATTCTTATAAAAACCATGTCAGCGTCAAACTGTGTGATATCTGATTTGTAGCACTCATAAAACTCTATGCTTACTGCCAGAAAGGGGGAAGGATGAGGCGACTCACAGAAACCTCACCCCCACACACACTTGTGTGTGTACGTGCATGTGAGTGACTGAGGGACACCTGGGGAGAAGGGTCACCCCAAAGAACTGGATCTCTACAGCTCTTGTGTTGCTCCATGGCTCCACCACACCCCCAGTAGGGATAGATGACCAAAGCCCCTCCCAAGAGTCTCATCCGCTCACAAACCTCAGGCCTGTGGTGTCTTAACTGCTTCATAAGTGACACCCATAGCCAGAGGCAGCCTCTATAGTTAGAGGAACAGCAAGAGTGACTGCCTGCCTGGGAGTCCTGGCCCACTGACCGGCCTAGAGTTCAGATGATGAGGGACTGGCTTGATTAGGATGCTTGGGAGGAGGCATATTCCAGCTCCAAAGTTCCAAGGAAGTACCCAGGCTGAGTGGTGGGCTGCCTGTGTAAAGGGACCACCGTTATGTGCCACAGCCTCTGGAACCTTCAGAGCTGAGGCTACAATTTTTGATTTCCTGGACATCGCTAGCTACACCAAGTGACAGAAGGTGTGTGTGGTGGTGGTGGGGGGGGGGAGTTGGACAGAGGGCAGGAGTTGCTCACAGGACCCAACATCAAGCCTAGGAGTTCCCAGGCTGTCTCACATGGATTCACCAAGAATGTCCTCATGACCCCTGAGAGGGAGCCAGAGCCCTCCTCAAGACTGCTTGGTTGGTGGCTCTGGATAATAAACGCCTGCTAAGGCTGTGGGCACCAGGGGCTTCTTGGCAGGGATGGTCATTAAAGCCCAGATCAAAAGGCCCCAGAAACACATGCTCATTAAGCTGGCCAGAGCAGCCCCAGCCAGGACACATAAAGGAGTCTGCTGTCCATGCACCTCACTGGGACAAGAAAGCCCAACCTCTAATGGTCACCCACATGGGGCTGCAAAACACCCCCGGGGCCTGAACACGGTAGCAGGCAGCCTCAGGGTCCCACCATCCTGGCTTTCATTGGTTATCCTGCAATGTTCATAAGGAAGGATAGCAGGACCTTGGGCTTGAGGCATCTGCCTAAGGATGTGGGGAGACATGGGCGGTGTCTGTGGGCGAGGAGATGGCCCTTTCCTGCAGGCTTTAGTGGCCAGCAGAGGACAGCCAGCTCCAACCTAGACATGGGAACTCTGACTGCCTTGGGCACATACTTGAGCTCTGAGCCCCCAGGAGCAGGTTTAGTGGAAGCTTCCAGAGGGGAGGCATGGTTGTGGGTACAACTTGGCCAGGAAGGCACAAGTCTTGGTTTCCACTCTGTGATTCTGGGCCTGTAACCATGAGGCCCTTGGCTATAGTATTATCATTGTCCAAAAATGTGGTGTTAATGCTGGCTACTGAATATGTAAGGCTGATGGGAGGAGCTCCTGGACCTTACAGATATTAAAGGAGGATTTGCTTCCAGAATCCCTGACTCATGATGCCCAGTCCTTCATCTTGGTCCTGATGGGTCATGGTATTGGGTGAGGTCTAGTGCTTTCTGGCATAGGCAGGTCCCTTTGCCCTCCTATCTATCCCTCTCATGGCCACATTGTGACATGCCATAAAGGAATGGGCTGTCCCAGGAGGTGGCATTGCTGTTGCTGGCCAGGGTCAGGAATTTCCCTTGGTGTCATCACAGATGGAAGCCATGAGGTGGCATGGTCAACCTGCCCAAATACCAAGATGGTGCCAAGACACACCAATTTGGATGATTCTCAGGTAGTGGATAGCCATGTCTTTGGGGAAGCCCTGTGGCAAGCCCATACCCTGGGTCAGGTCTTTGGGAGAACCCCCTCCCTGCTCCAGGAGTGTCCCAGGTGCTGGAGCATTTGATAGCACAGTGATCCCTGCCACATGGCCACTGGCTGCTGCAGCTGGTCCCTTGTGAAAAGGCACCATGCAGGCATGACCCTATTCCCAGAGCTGACATTGGCTCCTCTGTGGTCACCTGATCACAGGGGCTTTGCTCTGCTGCTGTTTTTCTCTTCACTTGGAGAACCCTGCTGCCACTTGACTCCTTCCTGTCCCCATCTCCAACCTCCCCATTCCCAACCTCCAGATGCTCCTGGTAACAGGGATCATGACTCCAGAATCATGGCTTTTCTTCCACTGACAGCTTGACTCACAGCCCCGAGTGAGTGGTTTGTGCACACTGAGAAACAGGGCAGGCACCAGGTGCTCAGCCCAGGCCTAAACACTGGGGAGGGGAACATTGTCACTCAGGGGAAGACCTGGGTTAGTGGTAGAATGCAGATGTGGCTTAGTGTGCTAAAGGCAACCTGCTCCACTGCCCAGGAGCTGGGCCATTTGCCCTGGAGTTGCAGGACCAGAACCAAGTGACCTACTGAAGCCTGCCCCAGGTCCTAGGATGACCTGGTACGTGATCACCCTGAGTTTGGCCCTGTGCCCCCAGGATGAAGCAGCCCAAGCTTTGCAAGGTGCCTCCTAAAAATACACCCCAGGCTCTGGCTCTGAAGGAGGCCACTGGGGTCAGGACCAGCTGTCCCCATCTCGGCTGTCCTCGCCTCCCAGAACATACCCTCCCGCCTGGCCCCAGGCCGCACCCCAGCTAAATCCGCCTTGGCCCCTTGGCTGGTACATAATGGGAAAACTATGTGTTCTGAGCCTCCTTTGGGGCTTTGGGAGGACATGCCCACTTGTGCTGGGGTAAGGGGAGCCGACAGCTGCCCAAGGAGTGACGAGGGACACCAGGAATGTCCTTTATCTGAAAATATCGAATAGCTTGTCGGTGCTGGGAAGCCAGTGCTGGGAAGCCCTTGCCCTGGACTCCACTGCTGACAGGGAAGTGGCTTTAGAGATGGACTGCAGTTGCCCACATTTATCAAGATGACCCTGCAGGATGGTGGCTTCTGGCTACTCTAGCCTTGGGTTTTTCCAGGGGCTACTGTCTGGGTCCCTAGATCCCAAAGCCAGGAAAGCTTCGAATTTCCCAGGAGGCCCCTGGAAAGGGGCCAAGAGGGAACCACATCTGTCATTTAAACCATGTCTGCCACCCTAGCTTCCGCGTCTGAGATGTCTCACCCAGGACACAGGGGAGGGTCCTGGGTGGCTGCTGGGCCCGCCCCCTCACTGGCACTTGCATTTGCCTCATAGATTCTTCTCTCCATTCTAGGGTCCACCCCACCTGCGGGTACTGAAGGACTGAGTTGCATGAGCAACAGAAGGATCAAGGCCTGGGAGGACAACAGGGTATGATGAAACAGTGTGGGCCGGGGGTGCAGGCAGGAAGGCAACCCCTATGAAATTGTAGGAGCAAAATGGAAATTGAAGGAGTGTCCCACATCCAGAAATCTGAACCTGAAATCTTAGGGCTCAGGCTCCAAGGAGGGACAAGGTGGCTAGGTAGGGTCATTGGGGCCAGCAGCAGACACCATCTCACTGGCACACCAGGTCACATGTTTGCCCATAGAACTCATGGAATGTTCTTGGTAGGACAGGACTGTCAAGAGAGTCCTAAGAGAATGCTGGGAGCTTAACAGTTGGCATGGTGCCCTTGGTGCACTTAGCCACTTCTGAGAAATCACCTCTGTCATTGGCGGAGCAACTCCAGGAGGGGCAAGTAAACAAAGGGTTCCCTGCCTTCTGATCATCCCCTTGAGGAGATGGGACAGCAAAGAGAGACATGACCAAGTTTGTGAGATGCTGATGACTGGCCTTGACTAGCTCTGTCTTTCTGCCCAAGCCAGGATGCTGTGAGAGGGTACGGGGAAGGGTGGCGGTGGTAGTACAGATTGGGGTGTGGGAAAGTGTGACCAGGATTCCAGGCGAGGATCAGGGTGCTCTGGAACCTTGGAATCTGTGGAACACTATATGGGCTTTTCCTGACTTGAGTTTTGGGGATCCAGGGCCATGAGTGCATGGGACACCTAGCCCTCACTCCTGGGAGGTCTCCATGCCCTTCCACTAAACAGGGGAGCCCATCTCTAGGCATGCGGGAGTCTTAGCCATTCAGAAGTGCTGTGTAGGATCAGCAGGCGGGTCTCCTGATGGGGGCAGTAGAAGAGCACAGGTCCCTGTGCCACTGGCTATCTTGGATCAGGGGGCTTCCGCCCCCAAATCAGGCCAGTTATCTCCCCTAGGCCCTTTCCCACCCATCCTGGGCCCTGGAATGTGGGAATTCAGGCCCAGAATTGCAGTTTTGATGTGAAAAAACCTAGGCCTCCAAGGCGCCCTTCCCTTGTTGGACAGAGAGGCTTCAGGACCTGGGGCTCTAGTGGGGGACTGCTGGGGACAACCTAGAGAAGTTTTGTCACCTTCATGGGTGGTGAAACTAAGGCTGGAGTTGAGTGAAGTCCTCTTTCAGCCTTTCCAGTGGTTGGTAACAAGGAAAGGGCAGGCAGTTCATGGTTCCCAGCACCCACACCCAGGCAGCAGAGGAAGATGTCTGCCTGTGCAGCCGGGGCCAAAGTGGGGGAGGGGGGTGTTGCAGGCAGAATGTCTCCAAGTTTCAACTAAGGGTGGCGCTGCTAACCACGAGGCAGTCAGCAGAGAGCGGAAGGGTCGCCTGCGGTGATGACCAAGCTGGCCTTCCTGGCTTAGCTGTTTGAAATCTGAGCCCTCCTTGAACCTAAATCGGGGTCTCAGGGAGCAGGTTAGGAGAGTGTGGAGTCACTGGGAAACCCGAGTCTCTGCCACGGGGGCAGAAGAAGCCAGGTCCAACCCAAAGGACGGCCCAGTCACACTGAAGGGCAGACAAGCGTCCCCGGCTGGCAGGATGGCCCTCCACTGCCCCTCCAGTCCTGCGAGCACAGCCCCTCCCCCACCCTAGCCTTGCCTCCCTGCATCTGCTTTCTCTGTTAGAGAGATCCGGTTCTCCCCTCCTCCAAGGGCTGTGTCTTATCTCTGGGAAAGAGATTACAGAGTTTCTGACATTAAATTCTCATGCTGAAGTTTTCAGCATGTAGTTTGAAAAGTATTTTTTCCAAATAACACCTGGAGGGGAGGGCTACAGGAAGGCCGCTCCCCACAAAAGCCCTGCAGCTTTCCCTCCCTACAGGGCTGCAAGGGTCTCTCACCCTCCCCCAGTGTGAGTTACTGATTCCAGCCACAGCCCTACTTTCTCCCCTCCAGCCCAGCCTGTGGGTCCCCAAAGCCTGGCAGCTGTGGCCTCAGGCTGATTCTGGGCTGCACAGGCCTGATTTACAGACTCTGTGATTGGTTCTTTGTTTCTAGGTGCTTCCAGCAGCACAGCCTGGCTCATACTTACCGGGGCTGGGTGTGGCCAGCTGGCCTAGTCCTCTGCAAGAGAGGTGAGCCCCTTGGCCTGGGGACACCTCTGAGCCCAAGGTGGTCCTGAGGTCTGGGTCCTGTGTCCGTCCAAGGGAAGCAATAATGGAGGGGTCTGCTGTTTGTATCTTTGGGTAATGAAGGGGCCACTTGGAAAATCTCCTCTCGAGCTTGTCTGTTGGGTCATTGTGACTTGGGGATTTCCAAACATTGGGGCCATGAGAGGTCACCCTGCTGACCCTGGCCTGCCTCATTATGTCACAGCCAGATTGTGGTGGCATCTGATAGGATCCAGAAGCCCCGGCTGGGAGCGGGTAGAGGCCACAATGTGGGGGCAGGGCTCAGTTCAGCCTGGTTAGGTTATGAGAGTCCTGGGGCAAAATGGCCTCCATTGTTCCTCCTGTCCCTAAGCAGGGCATCCACAAGTGTACCATTCCCTGTCCCAGGCAACCCAGGTCTGGCCCGTAGGAGCCCTGCTAACTTCCCTCTGCCCTTCATTCCTCACTGCTGCAGGTAAGGAGTGCAGCACTGCCACTGGTCCCCATGGTCAATGTGCCCCCCATCCAGAGCCTCTACACCTTCCAGCCCCGAAGGCTGCCCAGTCCTTGCTAAGTTCCCTGTCTTCTTTGGTGTCCAGTCCTGCAAGGAAGCTCCTTTCCTCTGCCTCATGTTACACTCTCCTTGGAGATTATTTGCCTTAGACCCGAGCCCCCAGATAGGACCTCCCGAGATGCAGGCGGCCCCCAGGAGGAGGCCCAGACTCCACTCTGCCCTGCCTCAAACTAGCAGAACCATGTAGCAGCCCAGCTTCCTCTGGCCCTACTTCCCTCCCCAAACCCTTTTTTCTCCCTTAGAGTCTCCAGCAAATCTCCATGCCCAGCTAAACTGTCCCTTACTTTGTGGGTCCCCATCATTGTCCAGCATAGCTTTTCCTGTGATTCCCAGGGGAGGAGAGGGGCAGGCCAGAGAGGACAGCCAAAGGCACAGCCATGACTCACCTGCTAAGCATCCCCTCCTGATTCTGGCAGCTCTTTGCCTCCTCAGGACCTCCTTATGTGCCAGGGTTGGTGGGGAAAGGGACTTCCTTGTGTGACCCTTCACCTGGGAGGAATGAGGCCAGCAGGAGCTAGTGGCTTCCAAAATTAAGCCTTCCTCCATCAGGAAGAACTCAGGGTGCACTTTGGGCCCAGGAAAGGGCTAGGGTGAACTTTCCCTACTCTCCCCAGGGAGAGATGTGCCATCCAGGGACTTGGAGGCAGAGGTGGGAAGGTAATCAAGTAAGCAGCCAGGGCATCCGAGGATGTTTAACCTCTTCCCTGGTTGAGGGCCAGCAGCCTGACCAAGTGTCCAGGCCTGGCCCGTCCCCAGGTGCCCTGGAAATGGGAGATGGGTTGGCAGTGACCAAGGCTGAGCAGTGCACTGGGCTCCATGCTTCTTCCTGCCCCTCTGAGTATGGCATGGCCCTGGGCTTAGCAGGTCAGCACTTTCTGCAAACCCACACACAGCTGCTACAGCCCAGTCAGTGGGGGTGCTCAGGACAGCCATGTCTATTCCTCTCCTCCGCTACCTCCGGGAGGTCTCCTGCCTTTCCCTCTTGTCCTTTGCACAGAGACCCTACCTCCTGCACTCTGGGGGGAACAAGATGGCTGGACACAGTCTCTTCCTGGAGCAGCTCCCATGGGTTTCTCTTCTGGGCAGGGCAGGCAGCCTGGGGAGCAGGGTGCCCTGGTTGCTTGCAGTTCCATGGTGACCACGGCCCAGGGGGTGGAATCGGAGGACTGTCCAGCAGGACCCTTTGGGCTGGGAGTCTCTTGTTCAAGTAAGATGTTGGCTGTCCTGGTGTAGTTGTTGGGCTGGTTTTGGATTCCAAATCCCCCTACACCATGGCACCCAAGAACTCCCATAGGTTGGCTATAGGCCCAAAGTTCAGTTCTACTGGGGTTTTCAGGTCATAGTAAGGACCCAGCAGTCACACTGTGGAGAGATACAGTACTGCTTGGAATTGGGAACCAAAGGAGGCCACTCATACTCAGGCCCAGGCCACATGCTGGCTTTGCCTAGCTCCAGAGCAAGACCACCCTCAGGTTCCAGGAGATTATGGCTATTACTGCACATGGCTTCTGCTTTAGCCTTCCCCATATGAGATACCCTGCTCTCCTGACCCTCTGTGTCTACTCCCCCAGGGAAGACTCCAAGCTACCCTGACCCTCTGGTTTTGATCTCCCCTCCTGACCCTCTTAGTGCTGTAAAAGGAGGATGGGAACGATCTGAAATGTGGGGGGAAAGCCTACTGGGTAGACAGGGCCAGGGCTGGCCCAGTAGGTAAGAGCATTTGGGGAAGATGGAGGGGTTTGGTGGGGACAAAGTGGACATTTAGAGAAAAAGGAGGTGGGGAGAAAGCAACATCAGGGATCAAATTCTGAGAGGAAGAAGGAGGCTCAGAGGAAACACAACTAACTCTGGGGTCACTGCAGCCCGAGAGCCTCAGGTTCTGGGCCAGAAAAGTGTCCAGATTGAGAGACAGGACAGCTTTTCCAGGAGAAGAAAGGATAGTGGATCAGCAGAGCAGAGAAAAGAGAGCCCAAAATTTGAGAAGCTACAGAGGGAGGCTCAGCCACCCTACAGCCAAACAAGAGTATCTTTCCTAACCGGCACCAATCAGGAGGGCACCATTTGATAAGGCCGTGTGTCCCTGTGCCAGGGATGGAGAGAATCCCCCGCTACCTGAGGGTCAGGGATGCTGAGCGGTGGGTAGACTGGGGTTCCCTGTAGCGTCAGACACAAATGAGCAGTTTCTGAGGGAAAAGACATGCTTCTATGTCTCGGAGGTGATAAGCGGATGGTGGTATGCTGGTGATGGGGCAGTGTGGGTAGGAGCTTCTGAGCTAGGGGTTCTGGGACCATTTTACCTTCCTAGATGCCCCACCTTGGAGCCTGGCAGCATTTCTGGATGACTTGGGGAGGCAGGAGGGAGAAGAGGTTGTAGGAAATAAACCAAGCAGTGCCTTCTACTGCCAGCCATATCAGGGTCCTAGGGTGTTAAAGTCCAGGCCCAGAAGATAGGGTGCAAGCCCTGGTGGTGAAGAGGTCTTAGGCCATAGGGCTGGCTAAATAAATGTGAAGAAAGTTGGGGAACCCAGGTGAGATCCTCACCATTGCCCTGTTCTGGGACTCTCCACGGAACTCCATGGCTCCTGGACCTTCAGAGTGAGGAAGGCAGAGCTACCCGGCCCATTTTCCACCCCACAGTTCTCTCTCTCTCTGTCCATTCCCCTGAGGAGTGGGGTACTGGCCACAGCACCCATCTCCACTGGGTGGGAGTGGATAGTGTCTGGAAAGACTCAGAAAAATCAAACTCTTGAGGTTGATCTAGGCTGGGAATAAGGATCAGATTCCTGGCTTAGGTATGCATTGAGCCCTCCCTGGACTAATTATTTGGGGACCGAGGGTCAGGATGAGTGGCACAGGGCTCTTTCCTGATGAAGTCTGCTTATCCCAAAAGCCAACTAGCTTGCTGAGCAGAGCCAGAGCCACCGCAGTGGCTTGCTTGTCCCCTGAGCCAGGTGAGTTTATTTGCTCAGAGAGGCATCCTCTGAGATTAGCCCAAAGCAGGACTGCTTTTTCCCCATTCCCTAAAACCCAGAGTGGGGGCAGCAGGCAGGAGTTAGAAGGCTCTAGGGACCCTTCTTGATGGACAGGGTGTGCCCTTCCTTCGACCACAGCAGGACCTCTATTTTGGGGTTGATAATACCTGCAGCCGACAGAGCTGGACCTAGAACCACCTCCTGTGTGGTAGTCACAGGGTGGGTCTCATCCCCACTGGGTGCTCAGCCATAGCAGTTTCTTATGGAGTCCTCAGAGCCCCAAGTGGGCCCTCACCTAGTCCTCCAGTGCTGGGCTTGATCTGGTAGCCTTCAAGCCCCAGAGCTCCAGTCTGTATGTCTTGGAACTGACCTGTCCTGAACGCCACGGCTAAGATGCAATGGTGGCCGTGTTGGGCTCCAGCTCACGGTGGTCTCCAGCTTGGTGGTGTGGGCTCAGGGGAGAGGCTGCTTTTGAAAGACGTCCTCCCACCTGGCCTGTTTGCTCCTTCAGCCATGGACATGGCTGCATACTGGTCTCCATCACGGGCCCATCCTTGACTGTCTCACCAAGACCCAGGGACCCGCAGTGGCTGCTCCCCCACTGGCCGGCTGGGAAAAGGCCACGATGCAAGGCACAGAGCAGGGCGGCCAGGGATTGGTCACTGCCTGAATGTCCCCGGACGGATGCCCGTGTGCCCTTGGGCAGCTTTCCTCTCAGACAGGCTGTCCAGGCCGGGGAAACCCTAAGCCAAAGGGATTAAGAAGAAAGGCACAATCAACTGCTCCCTTGGCTGTGCTAATTTGTTCTTCATTTAATGCATATTCCTTCAGTGGGTCAAAACATGGTACTGATGATGCCAGAGGTCCGGATGTGTCCCTTTGCCCTGGGCAGCCTGTCTCAGATGCCAGCCCCACCCCGCTGCCTCTCTCCTCATAGCTATCTCGCTCTTTCCTGTGGTGGCACAGGAGGGATCAGGGAGCCTTCTCTGGGTTCTTGGGTACACTAAGGGGTGTAGGGATGCGCAGCTCAGGCACTGAAGCTGGTTTCAAGAGAACCTCAGCCTTGGATCATGATCTCAGGCTCCTGCCTGGCCATCTGCTCCCAACCCTGGGATCTAACAGTTGCCCCCAACTTCCATTCTGTGGGAGGTGGGAGCTATGCCCTGGGATGAGCGTGAGAGCAGAGTGCAAATTTCCCACATAGGACTACTGTTCTCCTGGACACTGAGGAGGTTGCTAGGATGCCTTAAAGGGTGTTGGTGGTCCAGAGCCAGTGGTAGCTAGAAGAGCCAAGAGCTCAGGACTCATGGACTACCCATTTTCGGGACTAGAGACCCCTCAGCACTGTTCTAGCCCCATCCCTGGCTGTGCCAGGCAGGTGGAGAGAGTGAAGTCTGAGTCCTACCTCTGCCTCCTCTCACCTATCACAAACTGGCACTGATGGTGGCCTTGACTATAAACATTCAGGAAGAACAGAGAGACCCCAGGTGACAGGGAAGGACCAGCAGGGTCAGACCTCCCACCCTTCCCAAGCCCCAAACTCCATTTGACTTGCTCAGCACACACAATCCCTTGG